ATATAATATAATTAAACTTTTATATATTTTAAGTTATTATTTTAAGTAATTATTATAATCATATTTTATTTTTTTATGAATGCATTTATTTTTTATTTTTTTTATTTTGTTTCCTTAAAGATATTTACGGACCAAAAACGGTCTGAATATAGTTTGAGAATGGCGCCGGTTGGAGATGGAACTTTTAAAAGTTACAAGCAAGTCCACAATATTCAGACCGAAAACGGTCTGGATATAGTTTGAGAATGATGCCGGTTGGAGATGAAACTTTTAAAAGTTTCAAGCAAGTCCACAATATTCAGACCGAAAATGGTCTGGATATAGTTTGAGAATGGGGTCGGTTGGATATGGAACTTTTAAAAGTTACAACCAAGTCCAATATATTCAGACAGAAAATGGTCTGGATATAGTTGCAAGTCTTAAAAGTTTCTGCTGGGTCCTCTATATTCGGACCGATCCCGGTCCGTATATATTTGCTATGCCTCTTTCCTCCACATTTTCAGACCGTTTTCGGTTCGCACATATTTTATTATTTTATTATATTATTTTTTTGGGACCAATTTTCGTCTGCTTATTTCAATTTTTAAATAACCATTTATATTTCTTACTGAAATATCCGGACCGATTTCGATCCATATATTATATATATACGGACCAATTTTATATCGGTCTGTATATTATATTTTTTCGTACTAGGTTTTTTCAGATCAACTATAGGGACCAAGATCGGTCCGGATATATATATTCAGATCGATTTTTAATATATTCGGACCGATATTTCGGTCTGAATATCCGATTCCTGCAGTAGTGACGCTTTCGTACTCTTCTTTCCAAACTCAAGTTGGTTTCATCACAACCACCTTGAGTTTGAAGGGGGATGTTAAGATGTGAACACAATTATGTTTAGAATTATTGTGAATATTTTATACTTTAGAATATTCTCTTTATATACTTTATACTTTAGAATATTCTATTAATATACTTTATACCTTAGAATATTCTCTTTGTAAACACCTATATATAAGTCATTGTACATATAGAATGATTCAAGAAAAGCAATAAACCTTTGTTCAAATTATTCATCTTTTCTGTTTGCCTAACAGTTGTTCAGAGAGGAAATGGCTACCGCAAAGGTTGCAGCACTTACTCATCAAGCCTCCTTGGGAATGTTATTCTTAGTTTTGCTTTTCACTTCAGGTACAGTTTCTCTATTTTGATTTTATAAACACAGGTTAATGGTATTTTATTGTTATTATTTTTTTAAGGGAAACGGTTCGTGTCAATGTTATGGATGCAAATATGCAATTGATTGGTATCATTCTTGCAGGGCCGTTAGATTCGATTAATCAATTACATTTTTGTATCTTTAATATTGACGCGAATCGTTTCACATAAAACACTTAAAAATACCATTAACTTGTATTTATGAAATCAAAATGGAGCTTTAGATAGAATATTGTACCAGAAGTCAAAAGCAAAACCAATAATAATATCCCCATGAGTGAGGCTTGATGAGTAAGTGTTACGAATTTTGAGATAGCCATTTCTTCCCTGAAGAACAAATCTGCTCTTTCTCTCTTGCTGTGAATTGCGAATTCGGTCTAACAGTTTCTCCATTTTATACCATAGAAACGCATCTTTAAATGGAAAAAAATATATAAAATCTATATATGATTCGATTTTATGTTCCTATTTTGGGATGATAGCTAAATTACTCACTCCATTCAATTATGGCAATTTTAATTTGACTTTATAGATATTAACTTCAAACAAAAATTTTATCAAATTTATAAATGACAGTTGAAAATTTTTTTGTTCATATATATAATTCTTATTAAATAGTTTCATTTGATTAAAAAAAAATTTTAATTGTCATTTACATACAATGTTAAATTTTCAACTAAAATTAATGTCTAAAACTTCAAAAAGTCAAACTAAGAGAGAAAATGTGTAAACAAGGATACGAAATTCAAAATTTTCTCTATTTAAGGATATGAATTTTTTGGGTTACTAAATCAAGTTGTGAACTTTTATTTTCTCTAAATAAGAATACAAACTTTGCAACTTTTTAAAATAAGGATACAAACTTTACTTTATTTCTATTCAAGGATGGTGATAATAACATGGCAAACGGCAATCTTAATTGAAATAAGGAAAGTTCATATATTTATATAGAAAAAATAGCAAAGTTTGTATCCTTAAATAAATAAAAATGAAAGTTTATAACTTGATTTAAAATTTTAAAAAATTATTTTCCTTAAATAGAAACAATAGCAAATTTCATTTCATTATCTAAACCTTTCTTTCAAACAAGACAACTAAAGTCCCTGTAAGATAGGCCCCATACAACGTTTTCCTAAATTTTTCTATTCAGGGAAAAATCTTTATATGTTAAGCTCTGAACTTCGCCCATATTTGCAAATAAGGCCCTAAACAAAAATTCAATCTTATAACCCCCTAAAGGCCTCGATCCGTGCAGATTAACTCTTAACAGATTCTGTTAGTTCCGTCACAGTTTCCTATTAGCTATCTGAGAGCTAATTGACGTGCTTACGAAGAAAGTGGTTAAAGTGCAATTTACTCCACAAGCTTTTCTAATTTCTATGACAACTAATTCATGAACTTTTTACCTGTGTTGCTATTTTTCTACCTTTTTTTTTTTTTTAAGAACAATCAAGAAATAACTCATTATTATTTCATCCTACAATGACCATATCTGCCCTCCGCAGTGTTGTTTGCTTGTAAAGAGGATCAAATTATAAAATAATTGATTCTATTATAAAAGGAAGAAAAAAAATAATCAAATCATATAGTGATTGATCTAATTGTAGAAGGAATATCATGCTATTATAAAAATTGATTAACAAAGGAGAAATTAATTAATCAATTGATTGATTTCAAGATTTAATATTGATTGTAATTTTATTAATAAAATATTTCCAATTAATTGTTATTTCCTTATATATATTATATATCCATCACTCTATAAATAACGTTGCTCATATGTAGGAAAAGTATGGAAGAGAAATATAAGTGCAAAAACCACCGTTGATTAGGGGGCCTTGATTTATCATAATGTCCTAACACTGTTTTGAATCACATAATATCATGTCTTTCCTTTCTCCCTCATTATTTTTTATTCATGTTATTGCTTTTGATTATCATGAGATTTCTACTATTAGATATTTTCTCACTATATTAGAAACTTTTTTTTGGTATTAGAGCAACTCGATATGGGATTTCCCTTAGCTTTCCACATCAAAGTTGAGTAAGGTTTATTTTTTCCCCTTTTTTTCATCCTTTTTTTCCACCGCTTTTATTTCCCAGTCTTTTTTCTTTTCCTTTTTTTTTGTGAAAAAAAAAAGAGAGATGAATAAAAAAAAAGCAAAAAAAAAATCTTCTGAAGATGCCAGTTGGCCATCTTTAAAAAAAAATCATAAAAAAAAAGAAAAAAGAAAAAAACTTCTACTTTCTTATAAGGACAAAAGAAACCAAAGGAGACCATTCGGCCATGAGTTCTCTCTGCAAGCCCAAAAGCTTTGGAGAATGAGTAACACTAGTTGGAGGTGACTTACAAGTAAGTTGGACACTCAATTAATATCTCCGTGCTCCAATTTGAGGACAGTAAAGAGGATCAAATCATAAAATGATTGATTCTATTTAAATCATGTAATGATTGATTCAATTGTTAAAGGAATGAATATCATGCCATTATAAAAATTGATCAACCAAGGAGAGATCAATTAATCAATTGATTGATTTCAAAGATTTGATATTGAATGTAATCTTATTAATAAAAGATTTCTAATTAATTGTTATTTTCTTATATTTTATATCTCTCATCCTATAAATAGGGTTGCTCATATGAAAGAGAAATAAATGTGCAAAACTCAAGAAAGTTTTTGTACTGTGAACTATGGAGCTTTAATGCATCATGGTATTTCCTCTCTTTTAGTTATATTTTATTTTATTCATGTTATTGTTACACTATCATGAGATTTCTACTATTAGAGATTTCTTGATTATATTATAAACTTTTCTTCAATCATTATCTACAACATTTGATATTATCACCATCCTTACACAAGAGAAAATATCTAAGTCACAAAAAAAAAAAAAAAACCAAAAATTTATAGATCAGTGCCTAAAAAACATGAACAAATATACAGATTTTGTAGATAAAGAAGAATTACCATGTTTGATGCTAAGAAAGCCATTTGGGTTTGATTTCTTATCTTCGAAATTCAGTTATTTCAATGGGTTTAAGGAAATCAAACTCCAAAAATTGCCATTATGTATTTCTTTTATCAGAAAAGGAAAAATTAAAATAAAAATTGCTTAAGAATCACTACTGCAGGAATTGGATATTCAGACCGAAATATCGGTCTGGATATATTAAAAATCGATTTGAATATATATATATCCAGACCGATCTTGGTCCCTATAATTGATCTGAAAAAACCTGGTACGAAAAAATATAATATACAGACGGACATAAAATCGGTCCGTATATATATAATATACGGACCAAAATCGGTTCGGATATTTCAGTAAAAAATATAAATGGTTATTTAAAAATTGAAATAAGCAGACCGAAATTGGTCCCAAAAAAATAATATAATAAAATAATAAAATATGTACGAACCGAAAACGGTCTGAAAATGTGGCGGAAAGAGGCATAGCAAATATATACGGACCAGGATCGGTCCGAATATGGAGAACACAGCAGCAACTTTTAAAAGTTGCAACTATATCCAGACGGTTTTCGGTCAGAATATGTTGGACTTTCTTGTAACTTTAAAAAATTACTATCCCAACTGGCTTCATTCTGAAAATATATCCACACCGGTTTCGGTCTGAATATATTGGACTTTGTTATAACTTTTAAAAGTTTCATCTCCAACCGGCATTATTCTCAAAGTATATCCAGACCGTTTTCGGTCTAAATATTGTGGACTTACTTGTAACTTTTAAAAGTTTCTCTCCCAACCAGCGGCATTCTCAAACTATATACAGACCGGTTTCGGTCTGAATATATTGGACTTGGTTGTAACTTTTAAAAGTTCCATCTCCAACCGGCGCCATTCTCAAACTATATCTAGACCGTTTTCGGTCTGAATATGATGGACTTGCTTGTAACTTTTAAAAGTTTCTCTCCCAACCAGCGTCATTCTCAAACTATATCCAGATCGTTTTCGGTCCGTAAATATCTTTAAAGAAAAAAAATAAAA